ATATTCTCTCTTAAGGCATTACATGCCGTAAATTTCATACCTGTGGTCCACAATTGTTCCCAGTCAGCAAACATAATCTTATGTCCAACGTCCTGTGCCCATTTAATCATAGCCGATTTTACCGTTTCATCCTGAGTATTCCATTTCAGCAGCAAGTTATACATTTTTGACAAATTCTTAGTTTTGGGTTCTAACAGTTCTGTTTCTAATTTTGATCTTTCCACCTGGAAGCCAATTTTCTTGTCCAATTTAAATGCCTCCATTATCTGAAAATAATGAAGCCAGTCTCGCACTTTGTTTTTTAATTTTTCAAAACTCTGCAATTTCAGTCTATCTCCGTCTTGTTCCAAAATTTCCCACAAGGAGTCTCCTTCTTTGGAGGTCTTTAAGCAGAGGCTTGACAACCATATGTCAGGAGTGCTCTGATGGTGTTTCCTGCTTGGCAGGGGGTTGGACTCAATGGCCCTTGTGGTCTCTTCCAACTCTATGATTCTATGATTCTAATGTAAGCAGCTTTAGCTTCCTTAATTTATATACCTCATTTCACACATGCATCATGTTCAAAGTGTGTTTTTTAAAATAAAAAATAGAGAATTTAACTTCATCTGCTATTGCCTTTCCTCCCTTTAATCACAGTGATTACACAGTTACTCCCAAGCAAAACAATTGGATGTTGTTTCATTTCATTTCATTCTCTCCTTGATCCTCTGAGTCACCTCCAAACTTGTTTAAAAGGCCCTTTTTTCCACCATGGATCTCAAATTTTTGGAGTACAGTGGTACCTTGGGTTACAGATGCTTCAGGTTACAGACGCTTCAGGTTACAGACTCCGCTAACCCAGAAATAGTACCTCGGGTTAAGAACTTTGCTTCAGGATGAGAACAGAAATTGTGTGGCGGCGGCAGCAGGAGGCCCCATTAGCTAAAGTGGTACCTCAGGTTAAGAACAGCTTCAGGTTAAGAACGGACCTCCAGAACGAATTAAGTTCTTAACCCGAGGTACCACTGTAATCAACACCTTGTATTGCCTCAACACATCTTTCAGTTCCTGCTTCACAGTGTCATTTTTCAATGTTTCCTCAGCACCCTAACCCAGAAGAAGCCTGATTGTAGTCAGTTTATTCATATCAGGAACAGGGAACATGTGGCCCTCTAAATGTTGCTCCCACAATCCCTGACCACTGAGGCCTTATTGACCATCACTGATGAGAATTCATGCCAGGCAATGTCAGCTAGTCCACAAGTTCACCTTTCTCGAGTTAGGTACTGCATTTCACACATTCACCATGTTTAAAGTGGGGAGGGGTGTATTTTTAAAAGGAAATAGAGATTTCCAAACAGTATGAAAGACATTATATATTTTTAATAAATGCATTCCAAATACCATTCTATTTATCCATATACCATCAGCACCTAAAAGCAATCCATTCATACATTGCAAGAGTTGTCATATCTTTGGTCCGTTGTTCAAAGGGGACCATGGTATTATCTTTCCAATCATAGACTCAAAGAGTTGAAAGGGGCCCAAGTCTCATCTAGTCCAAACCCCTGCAATGATCAATATCAGTCTTTGGCAGAAGTTAGGGCATGGAGAGTCCATCTACATTTATATGCTGTCAAATTTCAAATAATTGGTGTATGGTTTAAAATAATAATATTTGAGAATTTTAAATTCCCCCCCCCAAAAAAAGGGTATATATACAGTATTACTGTTAAACCTATATTTTGTATCCTATCACAATGTCAAGTTTTCTTCTTTTTCTTTTTGTCATTTTTCTTTTCTATTCATTCACTTTATTTTCTCGCTGAAAAGTTTCAATAAAGCATAAAAAATAAAAAATTACACAAATAAAATAGAGAATTTATCTACATCTGTCATTGCCTCGCCTCCCTTTAATCACAGTGACTACGCAGTTACTCCCAAACAAAACAATTGGATGTTGCTTCAGTTCTTCCATTTTCCCCTTGCGCCTATGAGTCACCTCTAAACTTACTTATAAGGGTCTTTTCTTTTGCAAGGAACCCCAAGCTTTCTGAGTGATCAACACCTTGTACTGTCTCAACACATCTTTCAGTGCCTGCTTCACAGTGTCATTTTTCAATGTGAAGATAAATGGGTTCAGAAAGGGGCAGACGATGGTGGTGAGAACGGCAGGCACTTTGTGAACTTCCAAGGTCTCTTTCTGGGAAGGTGTAACATAGATGAAGATGCTGATGCTGCAGGAGATGGAGATTATGGTCAGGTGTGAAGCACAGGTGTTGAAAGCCTTGGCCCGGCCAGTGGAGGAGGAGATGCGCATTACCGCTGAGATGATGAACATGTAGGAAAACAGAGTCACAGTCAATGAGCATATGATCACAACAGCAGACAGAAAAAAGTCCATCAGCTCAATGAAACTGGTATCACTGCATGACAGTTCCAGCAGTGGGCCGCTGTCACAAAAGAAATGATTGATGACGTTGGACCTACAGAATGACAATCTGGTGATCAGGATGGTGGGAAAGAGGACCGAGAGGAATCCACCCAGCCAGGAACCCACCAGCATTTGAATGCACACCTGGCTGTTCATAATGGCATGATACTGCAGGGGTTTGCAAATGGCAGCATATCGGTCATAGGACATGGAGGTCAAGAGGATGAACTCCACCGTGCCCAGAAAGAAGTAGAAATAGGATTGGGTCATGCAGCCAGCAAAAGAGATGGACTTGTCGTTGGAAAAGAGGTTCCACAGCAGCTGTGGGCTGATGGCCGAGGTGAAGAAGATATCTAGGGCAGCAAAGTTGCCAAGGAAGAAGTACATTGGGGTGTGGAGCCGGTTGTCCACCAACACCACAAAGAGGATGACCATGTTGCCCAGCACGGTCACAACGTAGAGGACCAAAAAGAAGAGGGCGAGAAGGATCTCTTCGTGGCGGTCAATGGAGAAGCCCAGCAGGATGAATTCAGACACGCTCTGGTTCTCCATCAGACTTTCCCCTCGTCACTCTCAGCACATTTTCTTGAAGGAACAGTAGAATGGTGAGAGTCAGAACTTTGAACCCAAAACACAGGTGGTGCTTTACAATCCTTATTCATCTTTCCCACCAAACTTTTTAGACATTTATTTGGGATGGGATGTAAATCTGCTAAATGACTTTTTTGTGTATTTGATTACACAGTTATGACAAACATGCACATTTACTTACTGTAGCAAGCAAAAATCCAGTCATGTCCAATACTGGATTTGTAGGCATGGTCGCAAGGAAGATGCTTCTAGATACTCAATGTTATTTTGTGTTCTGTCAAGAAACCTGCTGTCTGTCTATCAAACTGGATTTGTAAAATACTCCATTCTTCAACCCTCTTTAATCTCAACTGCCCCTGTTTTCTTAAAAGAAGAATTCTACTGAAAAATCTTCCTCCCTCCATGCTCTGTAGCCAGTATCCCACCCATTAGTAGTTAGAATTGAATTGTTCCCAATGTGTGCAAATGAGAGAGGACAGGTTTGAGGAATCTCATTTAGTAATGCATTGAGAGTCTGAAGTCATTAGTGGGGCTCTAGAGAGACAGACTCCAGGGATATTGTTAGAATAATTCTCTAATACAAATGTTGATGTGGTAGTTGATGAAACAGGAATTTCATTTAGTTCTTTTGAACCAGTTCCTTTCTAATAAAATCATCATCATCATCATCATCCTATTCTCCCTTTTACCAATGTACTGTGTTGGAATGAGTGTTCAATTTCAGGTGGAGAGTTTTGGACTCAAAAAAATGTTCTTCTTCTATGAAATGCACTGGGTGGCCTTGGGATAATCACTATGTGTATCTCAGCCGAACTTACATCACAAGGATGCTGAGTGGAAAGGAGCATTGGAATAGAACACAGCCCTGTTGCATCAAGTCAAAGGCCCATCTAGTCAAGAATTGTGTTCTCACTGTGGCCAGCCAGATACCCATAGGAATAACTGCACAATAGAATGTGAACACAACACAAGTTGTCATTCCCAGTGACTGGTATTCTGGTGCATACTGCCTCTGATGGTGGGGGCAGAACATAGACACTGTGGATATTGAATAGCCCTTGGTAGTCTTCATGAGTTTGTCTAATCCTCTTTTAAAGCTATCCATTTGCTCAGTCGTGATGCTTGCTCTTCTGGGAGCAACTTCCTTAAAATGGAAAACTGGGAGCAGGGGGTCAAAGCTTTGCAGCAGTGTCAGACAGAAAGAAGATGAGTTATTCTCTGGCTCAAATCAAGATCCAAGCCACAGAAGAACTCAGGGGATTATAGTGTTCCAACTTACATTCGAGATGAGTTTTATGAGTTGCTGAGAATCATAAGCCAAGTGAAGGAATATTCATATCATGTCTCTAATATTTTGCCAGATAAATAGAATTAGATGTGGTGAGAATTCAGTGCATACTCAAAGGTATGCAGTACCAGCACTTCTTTTCTATTAAAAAGCACTGTTTAAAAGAATGCCTATATTTGCACCATACAAGATTTAGGCATGCAAACTTTAAATTAATTCAAATCAATATAAATGTAATTTTGTGAAAGTTAGCAAGAATATCTATGACAGTCTTCCACCTCAAATTCTTCCCTTGAGAGATTCTTCTTCTTTCTCTCTCCTGCTACCTGCAATTCCAGGCCAACATTTCTTGTACATCAGCAACTGCGCCTGACACACACAAAAAATCACTCATTTTGTGTGTTGACCACAAGGGGACAGTCCTTCTCAGTGTATTCAATTCAAACTTTCAGCTACTCATCTGGACCATTCAACGTGTGTGAATCATGGTCTGGGGCTAGGGTCTGACAGTACACAGTGCAGCAACTTTGTTGAAGCTAAGCAAGTCCAGGACTGGTCAGTGCCTGGATGGGAGACCTCCTGGAAACCATATGAATGTTGAATGGAGTTTAAGACATTTGAGATGTAAAATGTATTTATTAACCTAGAAGTAGAAGCAAATAAATGGAACTGAAAGTGATTCTTGGGTTACATTGAGTAAATCATCTTGCTCTGGGGAAGAAAGCAGAATATGCTTGTTTCATAAATAGAAATTAGTCCAACATTGCCTTGAAGGTACTCAGTGAAGGAGCTCCTGTCCTTCCCTGTGGAAATGTAGCAGGACCCCCAAACCTACATCTGGTCACACCAGCAGCTTCACATCTCACCCGCCACAATTTTGTGAAAGTTTTTCCCAGTCTTTTCCTTTACTTCTTCCTTGAGGAACAGTCCTCTCTTCCTTGCAGCATCTAGAAGGGCTTCCTTGACCTTCTCATTCCGCAGGGTGTAGATGAAGGGGTTGAGTGATGGGGCCACCACACTAGTCAAAAGAGCCACCACTTTGTCCACCCTTTCAGTATAGGTGTGTGTGGTGCGGACATGCATGAAGATGTGGCTGCCGTATACGATGGTGACCACAACCATGTGGGAGGCGCAAGTGGAGAAGGCCTTGCTTCGACCTTGCACGGAGGGGATCCTCAGAACAGCCAGGGTGATCAAACAATAGGAGATGACAGTCAGAACCAAGGATCCGAGGATGAGCCCCCCAGCCAGAACCAAGTTGATGGTCTCCACCCATTCGGTGTCGGTGCAAGCCAGGTTCACCAAGGGCGTGCGGTCGCAGAAGAAATGGTTGATGACGTTGGAGTCACAGTAGGGTAGACCAGTGACCATGATGAGCTGGCCAAGGATAGTGAAGAAGGCTGCTACCCATGTCCCACAGACCAACTTAAGGCAGAACTTCCTGGTCATCAGTGCTGGGTAGCGCAAGGGGTTGCACACGGCTTGATAGCGGTCAAAGGACATGACTCCTAAAAGCAAGAACTCAGTAGCCCCGAGGAGAAAGTAGAAGTAACATTGAGTCATGCAACCAGCGAAGGAGATGGTGTGGCTTCCCCAGAGGAACCCGGCCAAAAGCTTAGGCACCGTCACCGTCGTGAACCAAATTTCTGCAAAGGAGAAATTGCGGAGGAAGAAGTACATGGGGCTCTGCAGGCGATGGTCGGACAGAGTGATGCAGATGATGACCGTGTTCCCTGAGAGTGTGATGAGGTAGTTGGTCAACACCAGGAAGAAGAGAAGCAACTGCGTGGAAGGTTCTGTGGGGAACCCCACCAGGTAGAACTCCCGCACAGCTGAAGAATTGGCATAAGGCATGGATGGATAGTCAACTCTGGTCTTTTCTGCAGGGGCAAAACAAAATTCGCAAATGACATTCAACTCCGGATGGGGGAGAAATTAGATTGCGTTCACATTTAAGGAGGAATGATTGAATTTGAGTTTCCTGAAACTTTGCCCTCGTACAGTGGTACCTCGGGTTACGTACTTAATTCGTTCTGGAGGTCCGTTCTTAACCTGAAACTGTTCTTAACCTGAAGCACCACTTTAGCTAATGGGGCCTCCTGCTGCCGCCGCACCGTTGGAGCACGTTTTCTGTTTTCATCCTGAAGCAAAGTTCTTAACCCGAGGTATTATTTCTGGGTTAGCAGAGTCTGTAACCTGAAGTGTACGTAACCTGAAGCATACGTAACCCGAGGTACCACTGTATATGCATTTTGGTACACATTACTGGGCTGAAGAATTGCATTGCAAATTTCAGAGAAGTATGACTGTGCTTCGAATCACATTTCATTCTAGAAATTGCACATTGGGCAGGTTTACCTTTAAATGTGAATTGAATGGGTTTCTGCCCCATCCCTTGCTGAGCCCCAGCTCTCTAACTAAGATCTGTTCTACCTTCAAGAGGCTTAGGATGCTCTGCTTGGTTTTGTGTGCTCACTAACAGTGTCAAGGGAGCCTGATGATTTGGAAGGAGCAGAATCCAAACTGTACATATTTTACACTCTGACTCTAAGTACACCCCTGCAGATGTTCATCCCATTGGAATCAATGGCATTACCTCAGCCAAGAGGATAAAAACTTTACAAAAGAATGGGAAAAAATTATAAACTATTTAGGAGACCACTGTAAGCAGAAGGAAACATTAGCGGGATTTTGATTTCACTTGTTGTGTACCAATTACCATGGATAATTATGGATTGATATAAAACAGTGGCGTAGTGTGGGGGGTGCAGGGTGGGCCAGCCGCACCGGCCGCAACATCGGGGGGGGGGGGCGCTCACACGCGCAGCTCTCTGCCCCTACCTGGCTCACTCACTCTCTCTCACTGCAGTGCTGACTGTGCGAATCCGATCCGAGCCGCTGGGTCGCCGCCCACTGTGGAGGGGGGGCGGTGCTGGGCATGCGGTGCAGTGTGGAGGGGTTAGGGGGCGCAAATTACTTGCCTTGCCCCGGGTGCTGACAACCCACGCTACGCCACTGATATAAAAGTTGGAGTATCAAAGAATATGCAGTATTAAATGTTTAAAATTGGACCCCATGGAGGAGATGAGGGGAAGTCCTGAGATTCAGAGGAATCTCTGTTTGGATAACTTTGTATTTGTAAAACCAAATAAAAATGTTGTGTTGTTTTTTTTAAAAAAAGGAGAAATCAATGGCATTACCCCTAACTGATGATGTGAGGAGCTTCTAGCAGGGCATGTCATTACGACATTCCAATGAAATATATATCACATTGCCCATTATAATCCCTTACCTCAAACCCCTTACCTCAAACAGGTGTGTATTCTACAGCATGGGGCACATATATATATATTGTAGAATCGGGGGGGGGGGTTGTTTTTTGTTTTGCTGTGTTTAAACTACAATTTTATTTGTACAGCCCCGGAGAGCTCTTTGATCAAGTAAATGTGGCTCCTTTTTTTTTTTTTTTTTTTTTTTGAGCCAGTAAATGTGTTAGCACATTGGTAGGCAAACTAAGGCCCGGGGGCCGGATCCGGCTCAATCGCCTTCAACTTTCATCGCACTGTTCCAACATCTGATGAAAACCTTTGGATTTGTGCAAACCAAACCTGATTTTATGTGCATTTGCACTTAAACTCTGTTGATTTTAGCTGTATTTTGATCCTTTTATTATGTCTATTGTTCTACAAGTCTGCTTTTATTGCTAGATATATTTTAGGATTGTTTTTAGTCATTTTAGTAAACCATATATCTCTTTCTGAGTAAAGACCAAAATACAATTCTGCCTCAGAGGACCACACAATATTCTGCCTCACAATATTGTTCTAATAATTCATCACTGTGGTAAGAGTTTTCTTACCATGTTGTAAAGAAAGGATTCAGTGGGAGTAGGCCATTTCAAGATTCCCCATAAACTCCAGGGTTCATCGCCAGCCAGGGTGGGTCACACCAGAAGAGCAGGCATGTCCAAAGTCTGTTTTGGGGGCCACCTTTATGCAGCCCCTGTGGCAGTTTATTTATTGGGGTCAAAAATCCCCAGAAAAGCTCAACAACTTCAATCCTAAAGAAAGCTCAACAACTTTGGGGTTAAATCATAAAAAACAGGTTGGCACCCCTGCACTAGAGACACCATAGCATTTCCACATACCTACCCTAGTACTCACAGCCAAGATCACCCCTCGGAAGCTGCTTTCTCTTCCATCACAGAGGCTGGGTGAGCAAGGTCAGGAGCAAGGTGATGTCTTGACAAAAGAGAAAAATGATGATGAACTGTGTGATTCGAGAGACACAAGAATTAGAATGGGGCTCAGCATCAGCGTCTTAATGCTTTGGTGAGGATCGTTTCCCTGATTTCAGAAGCGTTTAAAGGAAGCAATTCTCCGGGGGCAGAAATCCCAATAGAAAAGTGGCTGTTGAAAAAAGATGAAGTATGTAAAGCTAATCTAGGATTCATTGGCCCGAGATGTTGACATGATAAACATATTGCTTGAATGTGCAGAAGCTCCCTGCATTTAAGTGATCAGAGCCCTTAAGCTACAGTTCCATGAAAATATTAATTATTTCATACTGTATATAGCTATCAAGGATAGCTTCAAGAATGCATGGTTCTATCCCCCCCCACTGCATTATATATTCACAACACCCCTGTGAGGTAGATTGGATTGAGAGACAATGTGGATTTCATCACGTGTTTTAAGATCAGATTGGTGTTTGGTTTGGCTAGGAATCCAGCATTTCCTAG